TTGCCGACCTTATACCAAGGAAATTACGATAGATAAATGTCGTAGCTAAGTTTCTAAAAATTTCATCTGAGAAAATCATATGCATGCGAAAGTACTAAGCATTGAGGTTTTCAGCCGAGAACCTGACTTTGCCCGATGTGATAATGAGATATTGGGCTCGAGGAAATCTCTCCCACGTAAAACCAGAATCTTTGAATTCCCAGTTTTGAAATTGATTTAAAACTGGTCTCAATATAGCAAAAGTCGTAGCCAACCAAAAATTATTGTTAGAATTCTTTGACGCCATGGTTAGCGGGGAAAATTTTCTTTCACAGCTGGTTCAGACCAGAGTGTACATCGAAAGTAAGCCTAAATCGTTTGTCACATACCTAATAGGTCATTTCACTTTTAGCATGATTACAACTTTGTTCTATGTTTTGTATCTTCAACAGAATGTTCTCCACCGTGCAATTAATCGAAAATAAACTATAAACATGGAGAGTTATTGAATTAAGAAAAATCTTTAATTCTTACTGTTTGAACGGCTTTTTTTTTTTCTTTTTTCCTCCGTGAACTGGTGATCAAAAAATTGACCTTGTTGTAAAATACAGCAATTGAATACAAGACACAACCCAAGCTAAAAAATCCGTACCGGAGGCCTTCGAAACATGATTTCTTCAAGTAATTTCTTACCTTCATTCACTCGTGAAATATCCACAGATATTCGATTTGTCTGATTTTGAAATGAGGAAAAAGGCCCGGCATTTTGCCTAATCATGCAGTGGTTATAGTAGCGCGTGAAATGAGACAACTATTTCGTCGTGGTTGAATAGCTATCGATATTTGCCTTTGTTTGGGGTCAAAAGCACCTAATTATTTCGTTTCCGGGTGATAAGGGTCTTATATACTTTCCGTATTGACCATGGCATATACATATTTTCAAATTAAAAAACAAAGACCCTTCTTCCTTTGCGCAGATTCATATTCTGCTACTTTACGTTGTTGAGTTTGTTTCAACGCGTTTTACAATCATCGGAAATGTTGGTATTCCTCATGAATAAATTTAATGTTTCTTTAAAGTGCATGCATCAGTAATGATTAAGGACCCAAAATACAGCAACATAAACTACACTTTTTGCTAAGAAAATTCAAGGATTATTTGATTCTCTTGTCAACAAGTTCCAAAAATAAAAATGCAAGGTTTCCTTCTCAAGAAGTCACTTCCCCATTTACTGAAATACAATCCCAGTTTTACATGTACAGAAGTACATCTGATTGCAGTCGATTTTTTTTTTTTGCGCTGCAGATTTAGGGATTAATTCAATGTGCTGACCCATGGTCACCTAGAAAGAAAACTGCTTGTCTCCAAGAGATTCAAGAAGATTTCGCTTTAAACCAAAGCGACTTAAGATTTGAATCTTGGGTGGAAATCATTTAGCGCAAAATAATACCTTGGCTAAAACGATCTCAGGCTGAAAGTTCCAGATATCGTTCATTTGAACAATAGATTTAATGCTAGGAAACGTAACTGTAAAAAATTTTCGCTCTGCTTTTATGGATGGTCGATATTGCTTTTGAAATAGCCGGGAAACAACAGAAAGGAACTTACAAATTACCATCAACAGAGACTTTTCAACCGGTCGGCTATTCAATATTGAGATCGAGAAACCAAATGTACAGTTACAAGTAGGCTTTGTAGTTTACAAACATATTCGTTTAACAAACCGAAGCAAAAGCTTGAACTCACTATCATCAAACTTTTACTGTCCCTCAAATCTCCCCCACTGAGATAATCTTCGACTTACACTGTCGCTCAAAAAAATATCCATCCCTCAGCTATGATGTTTGAAAATCCTTAATTTGCACTCACCAATATATTTGTGGATTCGCTCCGGACGTCCAAACTCGCCTTCTCTGTCGGGGTTTTAGGATTAAAGAATCTTTGCTCCGATATAATACCTTAAACTGCCTCAACAACTACGCAATTAGTTAACTGCGAGGCAAACAAAGTTATTGAAAGACCCTCATGAATAAAACACAAATATCAATTATTTCTTCATTTAATCTTGCTAATCGCTGATTGTCTCGTGGAAAACCATCGAAGTGGCACGTCTCACAAAGCTGCCCAATATAATAATTGCATTTATGATCTGTTAAGAGTACTTTAGAACTTCAAAAATGTTTGGGAACGATCGTGCTTTTCTGACACGCTCTATTGTATTGAAAGAATGAAAATAAAAGCTTTGGGTTTGATTGGTCTGGAATAAACAAAAACGATTGCCGGAACCCATTTGTTTGACACATGTCGATGTCAGTTATTTCGTTGTGAAAACTTTTCAGAATTAGCATTTGCTGACAATCAAGTTATCAAGTTGTTAAACGAAATTACATCTCTATAAAGCGGTTAGATCAAAACCATCTCCGCATTTTTTGGACGTGCAGTGATAAACGTCAAAAGTTAATTTAGGAATTAATGCAGATTCTGACTTCTAGAAAGTTCAGCACCAGTTGACCCTGGAGTTTTTGTTTTTTTTGTAACTGCAGCCATGAAATCGATTTGCAGTGCAACCAATCGTGCACGAACAGTCATTTCATTCCAAGAAATCAATTAACAGTTTTTTTTCTTAAACCTGGTAGCTTTCGTGAGAGAAACTAAGCATGTTTAAAGACTGACAACAATTAGAGATCTTTTAGCTCTGTATTAGTGCTTCACCTCTCTAACAACTTGATATCGATTTCACAAATTTCAAATTGAAAAGTAGGTGATGGAGAACGAATGTCTCATTTAGTCTGATGAATTGAAAAATTATTTATTCAAACAACTGCAAACGGAAAATACAGACAAAAAGCGTTCAATAAAAAGTGATATATAACCAGTTTTCTTGCCTGCAGCATCCTGTGTAAATTGTATTTTTGAAATCAATTAATTGTCTACGCTGCTAAATTGTGCTTTAATCATTTACATTGTCAGTGGTTGTAACAGCAGGCACACAAACAAATTGTTAGGCCGAAACCACGTCACTAGTTTCCGTGTAAAAGGCTTTACAATTTACGCTTTGTGAATTTTTGTTTTATTTTTCGATCTCATTCTTCGAAAATAGAACCCAACTGGGAAGAAATCAATATCCATTGCGTCAGAAAAAAGAACATATTATTGAAAATGTGAGGTTTCTGTCTGTTGCAAATTAAATTTCACCCGTTTTCCAGTCCTTCATTTCTCACCCAAGGAGGAGTATGTTTAGACTTAGTTTCCTGCATAAACTAACACGATAGTCAAATGAAGCCCGAATTTAAAAACCTTCCAACAAGTAAAACAGTTCAACTAACCAAATATTGAGGAAACGGCAAACAGCATTTTTAGGTAATAAAGTTAGCGAATCACGTTGTTCATTCGTCTCCGTCAGCAGGGGAAAGATTCCGAAATAGCTCGGTAAACGCCCTCCAAGTTCAGTCATAGCATGCTTTAACAATGGAAGATATGTTAATATTCAGGTTTAATCGTAGCTGAAAATATCAAAGGGGGATTGAGGAAGTCAGTTATATTTTCGGAGCCTTGTTATGGATGAATGCAATTAAAATTGAGAAGGCTAAAAATTTAATTCGAAAGTTCCGAGTGTGTCACGCCCACAGAGTAATTGAACTCTCCCGTGAAGCGTTCCCACGGAGGCGCAGCAAGAAACTATCATGTTTGGAAAGAGTTTACCTCTAGAATAAAGATCTTCTTGGAGAAATTTCCCCTTCATATCGGAAGACTACGAAAATGATGGTCACAGGCACGTTCGCCAAAATTCATCGGTTCTTGCGGAATTATGAACTTACAGCCAGATATTTTGCATGTATGCTCGTTTCTACTCTCTTGCCATCATATGTAGGTCAGGAGCAGAGTATCACCTGCGTAAGGTATGCATTTTCAACATTAACTTTGAAATATTTCTTATTCTCATGGAGCAAAATAACTGCGTGCTTTTTTCAGATTTTCGAAGATTTTGATCACTTACATCAGCCTGCTGGATAGGACCCGTTTCAGTTAACCGCGAAAATTGATTTCTGTCTAAGCAGCCACCCTTCGAAAGACGTGGGTGTTCCGACAGTTGCTTTCTGTGCTGCATCCTATCAATGGAGATGAAATTTTACACGTAGACTTGACTTGAACGTGATTGGTCAATACGGCTGTCCTAATTAATTTACCAAACATTTCCAATTGTATTTTGAGAGAATTGAGCGAGTAATGATATCAGTCGCTTATATAAAACCTCGAAGAGTTTAGAAGAATCGTATATCTGCAGTGAATTCGATCGTTCAGAGAATCATGAAGCATGGATGATGTTAGAAACCTTAATAAAAGTATGATTTCACGAAAATCAAACTCTCATTTTCTTTTTTGTTTTGAAAAAAAAAGGGGGTGTGTCTCCTTTTATCGAAAGAAATTTTTTTGAAATGATTGATGCCCTCGTTTTAAGGCTTCTCCTCCTTCTTAGTTTGCACGCTATCGACGAACAGAAAGAAGAAAGAACAGATCCTTGTCACGCAGTCATTGCACAATATGATCACGCAATTGCTCTCTCGCCACACGTTGTGTGACAAGCCTACACGAAGGCTGCCCTCTCTTCCTACATAGGGAACAGCGTGTTTGTCATGTGAGGGTATTAATTGCTCCCGGTAGTGTTTATTTATGACTTTTGATCACTGAAAACACAACCAAATAAATCCAAACCAATCTTGAAGTTTTAAACTTCGGGATTATCTTACGCCCCAATTTAACCCCCTAAAAAAAAGGAACCAGAGTTAGTTGTCTGAAATGCATAATCTTCGAGTATGCAAGCATTGCGCATGTATGTTCTAAGCGTGAAAGCATTGTGCCTAATGGGTGCAAAAATGAGAAGCCGTAAGCATGATGTGTGTGAAAAATATGAAAAAAAAACATCAGTTATTTGGCGATTAGATTCTTCTTGGTTCCTCCAACATTATCAATACCATTCATTTAGTAACATGGGAGCAAAAAAGCTAATTTTTGCTGATATTAAACATATAGCATAACATAATCCATAATAAAACTTAGAGGGGCATTCAAACATCACAATGGCTATTTCCTCCTAAATTTTCATTAACTCTGCTGCTTGTAGGAAATCCTTGGATCCAACCCTGTCACTCCAATGAGCGACCAAGAAATAATTTCTCCTCCCTATATCAATACAATATCAACAGAAAAGTGATGATAATGAAGAAAAAAGCAATTAAGGAGATACCAAATTCTCCCACCAAACATCACAAGAATTGTAAGACAGACAGTAAGGAGAATTACCAGCAATCATGAGATCTTCAGAGTGAAAGGGTTAGAACACTTCCAACTGCCTAAAGACATTTCCTCCCAGTGATGGAAACATCCCCAAAGACTGAATTTTAAACTATCTTATACAAAAATAAATCACATGTACTACACAACAGTGGCACCAAAATGTACTCTTGGAATTGACATATTATTTACGTAACTCCACTGGTTAATTTCAGGGTCATAGACCTCAACACTTGACAAGAACTGTCCATTAAAGCCACCAATGGCAAAAATCCTTCCTTTCATTACGGCAACACTGGTAGCAGAGCGCTGTTCATTCAGTGGACATGCTGCAGTCCAAGAATTTGTCTCAGGATCATAGACATCAACATTACGAAGATAATTGTTCCCATCAAATCCACCAATGACATACAAGAGGCCACCAAGGGCTGCTACACCAGCAACAGATCTTGGCTTACCTATCAGACAATGGAGAAGAAATTGTTATACACGATAATATTATAATCACACTTTGATCAATGTCAATATCGGAGCAACTGCAGACATACCCTTCCCCTGACCCAACAACAGAATCAATTTTGGGTTAGTGAAGGGGTAGGTATTGACATTGATTCAATACTTCTATAATGAGAATGTGTTATTGCATTTGGACAAAGCCTGACTGCAAGCCTTAGACATAAACAATTTTGTGGTTGGGAGTGTTGGGTGAGTATATGTCTAGTGGAGGGTGGCTTTCAAGCTGAATTAAAGATCAAAAACTTTTGAAACAAACTGATTCGTTTTCTTTTAAAGCTGGGGGGTGGGGCATAGAAAGGAGGGGGCTCATTAGGAAAGGGGAGTTATCAAATATTGAACCCCTACTAAGGGGGGACCTATTAGCATAATTATGGAACATCCATCTGAGATTATTATAGCATTATTACTCCTACTGTTTGTTGAGGGAAAGGGAGAGAACAGCATACCAGAGAGTCCCAGACCCCAGAACTGGAGGTTGCAGAGGCTAGATCTCCATGACAAATACCTAAGATATATCAACTGCCAACCCAAATTCAAAAGATTTGATTGCATAGTCTAACTGTTGAGCTAAAAGAGCTAAGGATGGCTGTCATCTGTAGTAGTTATTTTCAAATGGACCAACAGACTGCTCAATTAAATATTATTCCCAGGTTTACACCACTGGTATATACAAAATTCAAAATGATATAACAGTGCATCTCTTTTGTAAAAAGTTAGAATCAACAGCCATACCTAGGGGAGCTACATAGCTCCATTCATCACTCTGAGGGTCATAACACTCCACACTACTCAGGCGTGATAAGCCATCATGTCCTCCCACGGCATACACCAATCCCCCCAGTGTTCCAACTGCTAAGTACATTCTTGGGCACAGCATAGGTGAGACAAAGGTCCATTGATTCTCATATGGATCAAAGCATTCTACACTTTTGAGCCGATGATGGCTGTTGGAGCCTCCAAAAGCAAAAATTTTACCACCGAGGGAGGTTGCACCAAAGTATTTTCTAGACACAAGCATCGGTGGGCATATCATCCATGAATTTTCCTCAGGGTCATAAGCTTCAACTGTGCTCAAGTACTTCCCACTTTCAAACCCTCCCAGACAATATATCTGTCCATGAAGCTGAGTAACAGCAACACCATACCGCAGGGTAGGCATGTCTTCAATAGGTGACCATTCATCAGTGTACATGTTGTATTGTTCCCCTGATGCCACAGGACTACCAAGGTGGAGACCACCAATGGCAACCATGACATCAGCAAACCCCGAGTGGACTCGTGGCCTCATTCTTACTGCTGAAGAGTGCTTACGCTTTTCAGATGAAGGGGAAGAAGCATAGGAAAGGGCTTCATCTAGCATCTGCTTACACTCAGGATCATTTATAACCCACTCATTACTCATCACCTGTGAACGGAGAAATGTAGGAGACAAAACAGGTAGCCGTACACAACTTAGTATTTCCGACGAGTATTTCAGGCGATCGCCAAAAGACGTCAACCATTCAACAGCTGCATTATAAACATCTTCCTCTGATCGAATGCACACATTTTCGTCTGAAAGCAGATCTTTGACTGCGTCTAACGACAGATCCTTGAACTCATCACATTTTATTACCTCATTGAAGTGTTTTACCGCAAACTTGCGCGCCTCACTCCAAAGTTCTTCGCAGGAAAAGCCACCGGCAATAGCTGCTATTCCCAAGCAATTTGACGGCCGAAGTTGCTCTTTAAGAAACTGGCAACAAACGGTAGTAATTTCTTTCATCTGGAAAAGGTCCGAAGCGCTAAGAACATCATCAACATTTGCGTCATTCACGTCTATTGAAGAGGTGTACACAAACCGAACAATACATCGAAGAGCTTCACCGGTAACCCCTTTTAGAGTGATATCTTCTCTTCTGCTCTCTTTCAGTTGTCCCAAGAACATGGCCCTGAAGTATGGGCTGCCGACGGAGAGAACATTGCGGTGTGCCGATATCGAGAAACCATCTTCTGTTCGAAGGATTACATCACAAAGCTCTTCCAGATCGAGTAAAGATTCCAATCCTTTGAGAACAAGAGCAGCATTTTTGCTCGAAAGATATCGGAAAGAAGACATCGTCCGCCAATTCGTTCCCAAAATAAATTACTGAGCTATTCGTTGCTCGTATGTTACTCTTCCTTACCTTTCCAGTGTTATATAATATTATGATGAGCACGGTTAATTAGTAACGAATAACAAAGGAAGCTGCAAAGATGACTAGTGGGCTTATCTCAATTAGGTTTACCGCTGACACTGATGATAAAGACTTGAAGCGTTCACCCGGAATCTTACTTTCCACGAGTAGTTTACAAATCGTACGTCGTCGTAAATCGTGCGCGACCCCAGTTTTTCAAAGATGCCTACAACAAACCAACAGAGCGATCAATTTCAACAATTTCTGGACCAGAATCAGTATTCCAGCAACAGTATTTTACGTTATGAGAAAATTTTCGGACGTGGTTTTGTGAGCACTGGAGGTCTTGAAACAACCCAGGTAAGGTACATCAGGAGATCCAAGTAATTTTACTGGGAGGTAAAATCTCTTTTCCTCTCTTCCTGCAATCTAGTGTTATTTTACAAACGCAATTTTTAGCTCATTCGCTGTCGCAGTTAACTCTTGCAAAAGCTAATTTGACTTACTCGAATAAATTTTTTTTTTTTTTTTATACTTCGGACGTGTAATATTTCGAAATCGATCAGCCCCCAATGGAATCTTTTCTAGAAGAATTCGGTGAAATCAATCAGTTTTGATCATTAGCCGTGAACTGAGCCAAAAAATATCATGCAGTGCCAAAACACAGGGCTTTCATCTGTAAATCCTAGATATGTGTCGCAAGTTTTTGCCGGCAGATGGAAATCTATATTCTCCCTCACATATAGTGCAATCGAAGGAGAAACTTTTCTTTGACCAAAAAGCCCGCAACATCTTATAACATCCAAAAATGTTGCAACAAAACTTTGGCCATTTTTAAACTTGATCCAACACAGTCCAACATGTTACAACATGTTGCTACAGGGTGGCCAAATGCGAGCAACACAAGACATTTTTTCATTGTTTTCATCCTTACTTTATTCCACAGGAAATTGTAGCAATGCTTAGTTTAAAACCAGGTCAAAAAGTTCTTGATGTTGGTTGTGGAATAGGAGGATCTGGTTTCTACATGGTGAAGGTATGACTTGACCCTTTTTTTCTGTCATTGGTGGAGAAAGCTGGCTCTATCAGAGTACAGAGCACAGAGCTAAGCCAAAACTGTCATGCCATCTGCCAAATTGTACTGTGTGCAACCTTTTTTTAGGACTTCTCTCTAGCTTTTTTCTGTGAATTGAAAGTGAAATTTCAGAGCAAGTGAGATGGCAAGTAGCAACAGAGGAACCAAACAAGGGTTTTTGAATATGCCAAGTACCATATGTTATGTTGTCATGTTATGTTGCAACAAAATTTTGTGTTACATTGGACTGTACTGTTTCTTACTTAGAATTTTAAAGTGGAAGTATTGGGTGTTGACTTGTCAACAAATATGATTGACATAGGAAAACAGCGAGCCAAGGAATTTAAGGATGACAAGGTAGAATGTGCTTACATGTAACCTTTAACTGCATGAAGTGATTACCATGGTAACATGTAATTTCTCCCCAAAATATCTGTACATTATCCAGCAATAGATGATGAGAATACCCAAACTTATCAGGTAGATGTTGTTATCTTGATCTAACACCAAATTCTTGTAACTCATTACAAAGGAAAGGTTTAGGAGCTAGAGGTGGGAATGAACAATCAGAAGTCAGTAAGTGTAAGGCATGATGTAACACAGTTAGAAAATACTTGTTACAACTAAATAAAAGCAAGTTTTTGTGATCATGAAATCAAAAAAAATTTGCTAACAGGTTCCCATACCACATGCATCTAGAAATTAGGTCAAATGTATATTTTAATGTAATCTTGTAATAGTACAATTTATGTACACTCCGTTGGTTTCTGTAAACATGGTGTCAGTGAGGTTTTTTTTAGTTGTGGGTAGGTTCTTGAAAATTTGCAACTCTTTTTTTCTTGTCATGAAGATATCATTGCAATTTTGCTGCATTGGAAATTTGTAACTTCAACATATGCTAAATGCATGGAAACAAATGTTATGTGAACTGAAATTTTCAGGTGAAAATGGCTTAAAAGTTACACAGTAATACATGTAGTATTCATGTGTTTGCCGGTAAATTTTATAGCTCAAGCACTAAACTTTCAAGTTGTCCTTTGTGTTTTCAGGTTGAATTTGTGGTTGCTGACATAACAACAGCAGATTATGCCCCAGAATCATTTGATGTTATTTACAGTAGAGACACAATTCTTCACATTGCAGACAAAGAATCCTTGTTTAAGAACTTCTTGGTATGCCATTTTTTTTTTGGGAATGAATGAGTGCTTAAATTGAAGATCCAAGTGAATTGTGACACAACAGTTGTCTCACCCTCTGTTTCAGAAGAGAATGTAAAATTATTTATAAAGAAGCTATGGGTAGTAGATTATTAGAACACACCAAGTTCTTACAATTTTTCAAACTTAAATATGCCATAAAAAGCTTTGCAAGATGTAGACTCGTGCTTGTTGTCAACAAAATTCATCATTCAATCATTTCTCACATTACACTGTACATGCCCCCTTGTATATGTACATTGCATTTTCATAAGTTCCAGTTGAGTGATTGGTTGTAATTCTGTTCGTCTTGATTAGAAATGGTTGAAGCCTGGCGGAGAGCTTCTTATTTCTGACTACTGCCGTGGTGCTAATGAATTGTCTGAGCAGATGAAAGCATATGTTGCTAAGCGACAATATCACCTCCTGACTCCAGCTGATTATGGAAAGGTAAGGACTGAGAATCTGTTGGAAAACTGGGCTGCTTTTCATCTTTCTTGAAAATACAATTGACCAGTACTTAAAAATTATAAACAATTGCGGGGACTACATTTGCATTGGCAGTCACCAATTTTGTGACCTGTAATTTTTATTTCTCTGTGTTTGTTATTCTGTAGCTAGTTCTAAAATGTGGTCAGGGGTTTAGTATTTCATATAATATTGAAAACAGTTTTTTTCAGTGACTGGATTATGAATTTAGATGACCTCAAAGTTAATTTGAAGAAAATGGAGCCTACATGTAGAACCTTGAATTATGATAAACTGGAATTTACTCTTTTGTAACTTTCTAAACTTTTCTTTGAAATTTAATGTTGATTTAATTATTTGTGATATTTAGACTGGCTGGCCCAGTCATCTTTAAAGCTTGGTAACCCTTTAAGTCCCATTAGTGATCTAGACAGAATTTCTCCTTACATTATCAGTTTGATATGTAGCAGACAAGTAATAAGAATAAAGAAAAATATCAGTTAGGGGATTATTGGTTGATCCAATTCCAAATTCTCCAAACTAACATCACATAAATTGTATGGCAGGCAGTGAGGAGAATTACTAATGAAATCTTGGGAGTTTAAGGGTTAAAATGGGGGCCTGTTTAAACAACAACAAGGCCAGACCATGTTTTCTTTTAATCTGTACAGAGAAGATGGAGGAGGCAGTGCCTTCTGTTTTCCTCCTTATTCCACGAGACTAGAATGTCCCACTATTTGCAGATGATATAACAAAGGCAGCACATTCTACTTTATGATTTTAAAACCCAGAGTGTTGATCCAGTGTGGGGAAATTGATCATGAAAGTTTGGAATGGCCTGACCAACCCATAATAGAGATCATTTAATCTCACTTCTTCAAATGACCAGAGAATTCAGTAATAATTTTATCAATAAAATTTAATTGGAACTAGATCAACAGCGACATTTAGTTAGATATAATTCCTGCTAAGGCATGTAGACTCAAATTTAAGATGTCCAGACTGTTGTCAGAACAAGTTAAAATTTGAAACACAAATATAAGAATTTTAAAGTTGTAGGAAAATCCTTTTTCAAAGCTTTTGTAACATTTTTTTTCTTTCTTTTCAAATAGCTTCTTGAGAAGGTTGGTTTTGTTGATGTAAAAGCAATAGACAACACCAAGAGATTTATTGAAGTTCTTAAGTCAGAGAGGAAAAGATTTGAAACAGATAGGGATATCTTCTTGAAGGTGAAAATATTTAAAGCTACACTTGTGGATTATTTGTATCATTAATTCATATAAGAAACATTTTAGAAGTCAAAATCTGAGTTTAGGCACACTTGATGAAAAAACTGATCTTATCATTAAACTCTTTACACCCTAATATCAATATGCATATTCTCCATACTGTTCTCTATACATTTGTTATGGTTCTGACACGGAGAATTAGTTAAAACAATAAAGAGCTTCTTTACTTGATCATTTCCCTATATTATCATGGCCTTAATGTTTGATTCAGGGGTGATGCTCTTAGAAGAAATAAGATGCTGATTACTTGTAGGGTTTTAGAGTTAACAGTTCATTGATTTTCTTGTTTATTTGTTTTCTGTCTTTCAAAACAGGATTTCAAATCGGATGATTTTGAATACCTTGTTGAAGACTGGGAGACAAAGATTGACCGCTGTGGCCGTGGAGACCAAAAATGGGGTCTATTCCATGCCAAGAAATCTTCTTAAATCACTTTTTGCACAAAAAGAAGAACTTCGCGTGTAAGCGAATTTTCCAAAGCGCCGTAGGAATCATATGTAAAGTTTTTAACGGCTATTACAGGAATCAAATCTTTCAGGTGCTCTATTTTTATTTATTAGCTAAGCACATGCATGTTCGCTGCCCGTGAACTATTTGTATCTCCAAAAATTAATTAATAAAGGTTAATAAATCAGGTGGTGCTTTTAACATTTGGTTATAGTTATCATTGGATAAGGCTTGACCTAGCCTAAGGTACACGCGCCATTTGTTTGTATTGTTTAGGCGGTCAGTGGTAATTGCGGGACGCCCGCGAAGGCTGAGACACACACGAAAGGAAGAGCACGTGACTAATTCGTTCGCCTTGCACCCAATGAAATACAAAGTAAGGAAGACGCAAGCATCAGACGTGAGCACAGGACCCTCCATTTTCCATGTGCAACGTTCTAAAGTTCATTTTTACTGCACGTTTTAAGACGTGGATCAGAAAAATGAAACAATATCTTAGTGGCCAATAAAGAACAGAATATCCGAAGGAGCCAATGAGAATTAAAATCAAAAGCGTGAAAGCGTGGGAGACCAAGTCGTCATTAGTATTCTGTTTTGCATCTGATT